TTTTAAAAATACGATTGATAGATAAGTACTTTATGACATTTTTAATACCATGTCTTTAATTATATCACAGCCAGACCTCTGATAAAGTCTAGAGTAGTCTAGACCAAAATACGTTTACGACGTGCATCGATAAACAGTCGTAATATTTCGTAATTACATGTACGTCTGGTAATCTATTATTAATACTTAGGTATTTATTACTACATTCAGTTTATTAGGACCAAATTTAAACTGCAAGGTTAACTTTAGACTAACCTAATCTTGAACATCAAAGAACTTCGTTAATGCGGAAATCGAGAAATTTGCAAAATTCTAAATGCAATCATTCTCTTATCGATTCTTGTATATTATTGGTGTTGTAAATTATGTGCTTTAATTTCTTCCTGTGTTTTGGTTCAACACTGGTGAATGAATGAACTAGCTCTTACGTCTTATGTAAGTATTACATTCACAACTAACTAAATTAAAATAAACATTAATTTAAAATCATTATCAAGGTTCAATAAATATTTAAATAGTATGACGTATATTAACGTAGACTTGTAGAGCTGCAATATAAGGCATCATACACTGCATGATATTACGCATACGCTCAATGTAGCGTGTGAATCGTTCAGTTGGAATCTCATTTAATTGATATTGAATATTCAGAGCATTCAAATATTACATGCCACGTGCAGTTTCCATCAAACCTCTTTAATATTTTCACAAAGTAGATACAATTAAAAATAAAACATCGGCCATTTTCCAACCATTTTCTCAATGACATTGACGCGCCGTCAGTACAATTACAATTACAATTTGTTAATAAATCAATTAGGGAAATTAATATTGTTCGTAAACCTTAAATATTATAAGCTAATTAATATTGTTAAAAAGTATTTTCTGATGAGATAAAAATGTGTTCGACCATAACTCAGATTAGTGACACTGACAAGGGATGCAACGGCGAAATAGTTTAACATTGAGGACTGCTGACAGTGTGACTTCGGATCCCCTCGATGTGGCACTCTCAAAGCCCGATGACGAGCTACTGTTCTACACGGCGAGCGTACACTTCCTTCGTAAACGTCTGGAAGAGAAGAGCCACCGACCATCGAAGCCGCAAGAGGCCACTCAAAGTTGTTGCAACTTGAGTCGGCCGCCCGTCCCTCTTCTTAGTTCTAGTAGCGTACATAAGATAGCAAAAATAGAGTTAGACCACCATTCTCCTGTGGGAGAAGGCCCATCACTGTCAATGCAACAAGTTCTGCCGTTTCCGAAATCGAACGAAAACGGTTTCCTCACACGTCTGAGGAACACGTTCCGCAAGTTCAGGCGGCCCGCCGAGGTGACCGAGCAGCAGACGGAGGAATCTGACACCAAAAACATATCCAACTTCAAATTCCCCAGATGTTCGCGGCTACGGGACCCTCGCTCGTCATGTTTAGTAGAAATATCGGAGGAAAACTCTAATGAAAACATAAGAGCTCCTAATGTAAGACATGCAACAAGTAGTAAAGGTGATCTGTTAGAAGAAAAAAAATGTGTGACTCGCTGTAGAAGGTAGATTTGTTTGTTTTGTATTTTTATTATAAACTGTATTGTATTTTGATTATTGTTGACCTTTTACTTAATTTATTATTGATATTTTTACTTATACCTATAATTGCCAATAAATAATATAAATTCATAAACGTTTCATATTAATGAACTCACTATTATAAGTTATGAAAAAAAATAAGATACCATATACATTTAAGACTCATATTTCTTCGAAAATTAACACATGCGAATGTTCTTTGCTCTCGTATCAGTACTTATCAGTATGATAAATAGCGCTTTATGACAAGTCCTCATCATGGTTTTATATCATGGAAAAGTTCAAAACCTACTACTGACTTATAACTTGATTTATACACGAGATTCTTGCCAAGTAGTCTTAGTTTTCTTAATAGTCTTTAAAGAAAACTACACTCCCATTCTTGTATGATTAAAGTAGAACCCTAGTGTCATCATGTTGTGACATCTAGGCAAACGTGGGCCAAGTCGCATGTTCCAGTGTGGCCGACATTTCAATACAATCGCTTGGAAGCCATACATCGCGCCCTCCATCAGCTGTCGCACGAGTTGTCGCCCGGGGGCGCGTCTTGTGACGTCACAGGGCTTCGCGGCCATTGCCCCTGAGACCTGACTAGACGATGAACATGATTGATAGATGCTATATTCATAAAAAATGTTCCAATTCACTTAATTTGGAATAATATAATCATATTTATATGACTCCCACACTATAAACATGTACTAAATATATTGTTTTATTCACCCCATTTTCGTTTACTGGAACAGTGTGGTAGTCTTTAAACTCAGCTTAAAAGAATATGTTGACTGTCGTAGACTCTTTGTAAATAATAACAGCTTTATGATTTTTGAGTAGATTTTTAGATTCATCTTCTGAAATAAGTTTAATGTGGATCACAATTACGTATTATAATAGTAGTCTTAAGTATTTAGGTTTATCTCAACTCATTGCGATCATAAAAATAAACGAAAAGTGGTTGATTTGATAAGATCTCTTCTAAGTTGCGTATAGTTGTTTACACCATGCTTGTCCTTTACGCCTCCACTTGATGACAATTTAAACAAATTAAAATAAATAGAAGTTTGATGGAAACATCATAAAAGTTGGTTGTATAAACAAAATTTATTCATGTACTGGCGTGGGTATTGTAAAGGTCTAATTTGTCAATGACAGGAATATTGTAAAGTTCAATTCTGAGAGAGCACTCAATTACTTAGCTTCAAGTTTCTGATAGCATATTTAAAAATACTCCCGTTCTTAAACACTCGTTGATCATACTCTTGCCCTTAATGAAAAGGTGGGTGCAGAGTAAATTAGTCCTTGTCTGCTAAACAACTGTTTTGCAAACATTTCCTATTATCACATACCAGTTGTCTTATGGAAATTGGGTACTTTCCAGGGTATCAAAATGAAAAATCTAATTAGTCCGTCAGTTAGATAATGAAAAAATATTAGACACGTATTTTTTTATTTTCTCGTATTAAGTTGCAATGCTTAGATAAAATGGCGCTAAGTTTAGGAGTGGGAGATCGTTACGTCACAACGTGCTACAAAATGTGCCATGCTGTGACGTCACTCGTAATTTCAAATTTAATTTTGTGAGGAAAGAAAAAATACGTGTCTAAAGTTTTAAATTAATGTACCAGACGGACATTAAAATAAAATTTAGAAAACTACCCTATTGACAATACAACTAAAATAGTTTATTGTAAGTACCTTAAGAGTGCGACATTAGGGTTGTGTAAAATATATGCTTTTTAACGATATTGATAAACATTAGTAAGAAAAGTATATTGTAAAAAGCAAGAACAAGGCTCTCTTGAGCCAGATCCTTTGAAGATATTACTCAGAACTTTGATTTATAATTCTTGCATATCAAAACAGCTTATGAAATTCATTAACAGTCGTAAGAAATAATAATGTAATTAAAGAAAGGTAATGACCTTACCAATTAAAATATAGAACATCAAACACAAGGACAAAGTTGCAAAATAACATTTGTTAAAATAAACATTACACTATGTTAACAAGAATTAAATATTTGTTGAACAAACTTCATTTATTTTCTCAACAGATAATTGAAACGATCACATTTATTTATATAACAATGTCTATTTAGTTTAGTTTAGTTTCCGGATATATAAAATCTTTCGTTTACATGTGAATATCAAATTGTTCAGTTGAACAGATGTTCAATTATGTGTTATAGATAACACATAACATAACATCACGCCTTTTATCTTCGAAGGGGTAGGCAGAGGCGCACATTACGGCACTTTATGCCATGATTTAAGTAATAAAACTTCATTTATTTTAAACTTTTCTATTATTGCTAAGCATACATTAAGCAGTACTTAAATATAAAAAGTAACTTAACGACTAAACGTGTATTTACATCTATCACAGGTTTTTGACGAATTTTCTCAATGTTCTTAAAGTTTACTATTAGGTACAAGATAAGTCGGGAAAACTAACTGACTTTGATCATTATAATCGACACAAAGGTAATTTATGATATGGAAAAAAATGAATAAAATAAAAAATATAAAAGAAAAAATATAAAAGAAAAAGTAATTAAGTAGAGTAATCGTGTATGGTAAGCTTTAACTTTTTAGTAATTAAATCATCGAGAACTTATCTAAGAACAAAAAAAAAACAAAAATAATAACTAAATAACCAACTGATTCATACGAATAATTGTAAACTATTGCTTTCAGGTCAAAATTAAACAACTATTAGTTTAAACAGTTGCCATCATATGAATCAGTAACTACTTTATCTTACACAGCTAGAAATATCTAGTTAGACTTCAAAAATAACTAATCTAACTTAGGAATGACAGAAGAAAAATCTATAATGGGATCATTAACGAATTTAACCATGTAACATACTGATGTACAAAGTAATATTTGTTGTTGTAAGACCCACCAGCTAATAAATATCCAAAACTTATTATTACATATGACTCTGTAGAAAAAAAAAATATTCTTTTATAATTAACCCCATTTTTTAAACACCTAGGATTAAAATTTTGATACCAAAAACCCCAATTCATCCAACACGTAGATTGGCAGACTGCCTATTAAATTACTGAATTACCAAATCTTGAGTAAATCAATAAGAAAAAAAATAAATTAGTATGTCAAAATTTCAAAATTACTCAAGTTAGTTTTAATAGCAAACATTAAGGGCTAAGGCGTAAAGACAGAAATAAACCAATTTGGGTTTTTTTATACCTATAACATGTTGTATAAAACAGTGATATATAATCTCTACTGAAAAAAAATATCCGCTTTCTTATACTAATCCAGATAGACTCCGATAATAATTTTAATCATTAATTATCCTAACATCCATACACACAAGCCACAACAATACAAGAACCACACAACACTCATAACACCAGAAAAAGTCCAGGACTCGTTGACTATCATGAGTCTTAATACAACTTAACACCTTCTGCTTTCAGCTGCCTCACTACCTCCGGATCCACTTCTTCTTCACGGAATTTATACCCATAGCTGATTACTTCTTTCGCCACGCTAAAGTTCTTCTTCAAAGAATTCAGCCAGATGGTGTAAGAGTAATCTGGCCATTTTCCACCGTACCTCTCTGGCAAGTGCTCTGGGTCTATATGTTTGTGCAAGGACTTGTAGTCGTGGCCATGGAAGTAGATCCTGGAGCGCATGGAGGCGTTCAGCAGGGGTTTAAAGATGTTGTAGATCTTGTCGAACATCCACGAGTGGTTGATGATGTGAATGGCGTGCGTTGTTAGCGGGAAACATGACTGGAATAGAAATGAAATACATAATGAATTTTTATTTTTATTAAATCAAATGATTGTTTAATCTGTAGGCGCTATATAATTACGCTCCCCTTCCCCAATCTCCCCAATTCCTGAATCCCCAACGATCCTCAAACTCCTAATCCCCAAAAGGGCGGTAACGCACTTGTAACGCCTCTGGTGTTCCAGGTGTTCATGGGCGACGCCGATTGCTTACCATCAGGTGATCGTCAGCTCGTTTACCGGCTTATGCCATAAAAAATAAGTATTGGGTAGGTGAACCCATTACCACTTACAACACTTCTTAATACTTAATTAAGTGTTGTCATTGCATTATAATACAATATTATCATATTTTTACCTTTTACTACCACTTGCTCACTTATAGGGGTACTAAAATATAAACGAGTGATTGAGTGACCCAGTTGAAATGTTTATAATACTTATACATATATAAAAGAGAAACCACTTACCACCATAAGTTTGACTATTTTGGATGCGACGGAGGGTGTGATCTGCCACGCGTGCTGGGTGCCAATATTTTCCAGGTCGAACACAGCTACTCCACCCAATATCTGCGACCTCTGCTCCAGCAAACCTAGCTCCATAGCCATGATGGTCGCTTTGAACAAGTCTTCCACAGGTACCACCTTCGGGTTCCAACAACCTGGAAATAGTGAACACAATTTTGGTTATTGTAAAATTTTAATGTTAGTGTGTAACCGGATTGCTGCTTCAAGCAAAATATCGAAAGGGAATGCAGAAAAAATATACATACTATAAAAATATATACTTTTTTTTATCGGGTAAAATCATGGAATGGCTGCTCCCGCCTGAGTGAGGCGGGAGGGAGTTTCAGACTCTTACTGACTAAAAACCACCCCGTTCCTTCTCCTGCACATCGAGCCGGAGCCCCGGTTACCCGTTAGGTTCTCCGCGACATAAAAATATATACTAACAATTATTGTTTTATACAAAAGTTACATTCAAATGGAAAAAAAAATATTCGTGTACCAGTTATTTACGCAAACAGAATAGTGTAACGACTTTTTTTTCAATTGCACAAAACCAGATCTTACTCATAATGGGTCTAACTTTGAGTTAATTATTTTTCAAACACCATAATAAAATCAACTAATGAATACTTTACACGGTAATCTAAGTACATAATCATTCGTATCAGTAAAATACCATTGTAATACATTGTATTAGAATTATATACTTTTAGGGACCTACAGTAGGTTAATGATACAACTATGATCGTAAATTGAAAGATAACAGAATCGAGCCTATATTTTGTACCCATTTCTAACACAATCTCGCTCATGTAAATGGCGGACCATATTGTAAGGCGTATCTAGGTCAAACAATCCTCTTGCTACCTTTATTTAATGAAGTTAATGTTATTTCGTACGCATCCCAAATTATTCTGTATCTCTACTATAGTTTCGGTATATTCAGTATTTAAAGGCAGCTGAGATTATTATGGTATTAACATTTCATGTAAGTAAACGAATGAAAGTGCTATTCCACATAATACCAACATTAAGTGCCTGAAATAGGCCTGTGTCGTGAATTTCAAAAATGGCTTATTACGTTAATTTAGTACCTGTATTAAATAATATTTCATGATAAAAATATATTTAAAACACACATTTTAAGTTTGTAAAAAATTGTTTAGATAATAATAATAGGTTTTTTTTGTTTTTTTTTTACTCAGGGTGAAGTCATTGAACGACATTCCAAAAAACATTCTTGGAAATGTATCAAACTACTTTTTATAGACTGCCGTAGCCGTATTGCGATTTACCAAATGGATAGCCAGTATTAAATATTTTTATTATAATAATAGTAAAAGTTTAAGGATACAATTATATTAAGAATATTTATCTTACCTATTCTATAGAACAGCAGTCTGCGTCCGCCTTGGTCCCTGTATGGAGGGACGGTGATCACACCAGCATCTCCAATTTTCCTTAAGTCAAGAGGGAAGACGTCCTTGAACAGTTCTGGATTGTCTTCTTTGAATTGATAGTAGTTTACAAGCTGGAAATGTAGAAAACAATATATAAATACAAATTATAATATTTATGTACAGGAAAAACCGAAGTTTTTTATTTCTCATAGAGATGCGCATTGGCACATATTCTAAGTGATAATTTTGTAATAAGATGAGAAGTCAAACTGCACTGAGTCCTTTACACTGAGCTCCAATATATTGGGTATTCTCTATCCCCAAAAGAGAATTTTCTTAAAAGTTATATTTTGTCAGACAAGGAAATCGAAACCAAATCTCCTTGTTTAGCAGTTCAGCTTCCGACTACTCGACCAACGAAGTTTAATTTAGTTTTATTGTATTTGTTTAAGAGGTGCACCTACATTTATAGATAATAAAATGTAATAATAATGACGCGTAATATTTTAACAATAACATAATTAATTATAACATTTACGTGTTGATAATAATTATTAAACCATAAAACTGCATACCATATTATAATAGATGATTAAATCACTGTCAGAATAGATGTTTTTTGTTAGATAATTTATGAGATCTAGTTTTGAGACTTAACATACAACAGGTCTATTTATTTAATGCCATGATTTACGTCACATTAGACCTTTCTTCAATACGTCTTTGTATGAGTTCACCTTAAGAAGGGCTTAAGTATTTATTCACTTAACTCGCATCAGTATAAGTATAAGTCACTCCTTTAAATATTGAAAAATTCAATAACCTTGAATCGAAATTCTACTGGTCGACTAAACTAACAAGGCTTTTTAATAATTCGTACAAATATGGACACAAAAACTGTACAATCATCAAAGCAAACATTATCTAATGTAGACCCATTATAATTATAGATCAACCCACCTGATTCATGATTTACAACCAGAATTAGATTTGTGAAAACAAGGATTATATTTCTGTAAATCTCAATAAATGAAACAAAATCTATGGTAAATACAAAACATGATAGAATAACTTTAAATATCGATGTTGACGTCACCATGTTGACGTGGGTAGGAGTGACCGCTATGAGAACGGTAGACGGTCTCTACGTCAGATTTTTATTTATCATTGATACTTGAATAAACTCATCAGTTTACATTCCTAAATATAAACGTTTTGTTAGTTATAGACACAAAATAATTCATATTGCTTCGTATTTTTACTTTGCCGACGATACTGAGTTAATGAATTGGTAACACTTAAATCCGATTCAAGACTTAGAGAACTTATTATTTGCCTAGTATACCATTACATCATCATTCATCCCCGAAGGGGTAGGCAGAGGTGCTCATTACGGCACTTAATGCAACATATAAATAATGTATAATGTAACACTCACTTTTCACTATTTATGTTATGAGTCGTATGTAATAGTATAGAGGTATACCGGGCACAATTTCAGACTCCGTGCTACTACTGACATTTTTTTTTAAACCCAGTAATACTTTGCCCGACCACTCGGCCAACAAAATATAGCTTAGTATAAAAGACATTAAAATATCTTTAATTGATTATGAAATAAAATAGAAAAATAGAAAAAATATTCATCCATTAGAGTAACATCTGACTAGTCAGCCATTCGTGTTTAAAAATAAACATACAAAAACTAAATTAGGTACAGTTTCTCTATTTAAAATAATTAACTTTAAGATATTCAATATCAACATTGACATTAAATATATATTACTACCATGCATGTTTAACCTTTTGGCATGATATCATATTTAAATATTTGGTATACAATTACCAAATAGTGTATGTAATTAGTCAATCATCTTTCAGTCAGTTCTTATTCAATAGATAATTTCGCAAAGTATAAACATGTATCAATGAAACTGGATCACCCTTTACAGCTTTTCAAGGTCTTAATATTTTGAAACATATCATAAACCTAGTTCTGGTTCAGAATTTATTTTATGAATATATAGGTATGCTTGCTTGCTTAAGAATAAGATAGATTTATGAATGTTAGCTTAGAAATACCCGTGATTTATATACTGATAGTTCAGGACATTTGGTGGACTCATAACATAATATTACATCACGCCTTTTATCCCCGAAAGGGTAGGCAGAGGTGCACATTATGCCACTGTACAATGTAACACCCACTTTTCACTATTTATGTTATGAGTCCCATGTAATAGGGGTGAGCCTATTGCCATATACCGGGCATAATTCCAGACTCCGTGCTACTAAGGAGCTTGTTGTTTAAAACCCAGTAATACTTTGCCCGACCCGGGAATCAAACCCCTTGCCGCCGGCAGTCGCACTTGCGACCACTCGGTCGACGAGGCAGTCTTGGTGAACTCATAAGTATGTATATGTATATTCTATCGAGTTCGCACACTACAGGCCTGATTCTAGGCAAAGCATTCAAATTCAATTGTATTGGTAATTAAATTAATGACGACCATCCGGTCTATTAAGTATAATAATAGACATACCAATCTATGAGCCCTCCTCGGGATAAACTTGCGCGCGCGCAGGAATTTGATCAAGAATTCGTCATCCATGCGATGAGGGGTACATTCACCACGTTCTGAAATAATGTAAACTTGAAATTAAAATCAAATACGTAATAAATAAAAAAATACTTGTATATTGTATAATTATAATTATAATTCGTTATTTCTGAGGTATTGAAAGTGTCTGTCACTGATAATGTAATAAACAATTTAAAAACTTTAAGAAGTTTCGTTAGTATTGCCGAATCTTGTCAAATATTGAATATCATTTCAAATCAAAACATATCCGCATCAAATCATAAAATTATATTATTGTTGTTAAGAAGAAGTTTAACTTTCTTTTGTAAACTTTAACCTTCACATAACTCAAAAGAGCCGTTACATTTTAAAATTTAAATTAACGGTTTTTGAATGAACACCTTTTATACTAACATTTAACGTCTTCTTTCGTCTGTATTTTTTTACAGCACTACCCATCACTTTGGTTTATATGTTCTTATGTAGTGAATGCATTTAATGTCGTGTTCGAGAAAATACCTTCAATAAAAACGATAGCTTATTAACATGTATCAGTATCTATATATATAAAAGAAAGTCGTTTTAGTTACACTATTTATAACTCAAGAACGGCTAAATCGATTTGGATGAAAATTGGCGGGGTGGTAGCTTAGAACCAGGAGACGGACATAGGATACTTTTTATCTAATTTTTTTTTTCTTTTACCGAAAATCACGAACGGGAACGGGGGGGGAATGGGATTGCGCGTACGAAGTCGCGGGCAGAAGCTAGTATTAGGTATCTGTTACTGGAATGAAATTTTCTCTAAACAAGTTATGTGCAGAATCTTATTGATTTGCTGTACACAAGACTGTTTATTGAATTCATTTATGCTTATACATGTATATCGTTTATTGAACTTGTTTATATATTTTATATGAATTCTTTCACTCTCTTAACGAGGGTTAATTTATATATCGTGTCGAGAAAAGTTATATAACAGTTTTATAGACTACAGCATTTAGTAGCGTAGGCGTAGCATAGTAAAAAAATATAAAAATTATGTTTGCTCTTTCTTAAATCCTGTCTTTTTCACAATAAAGATGGAGTCGCATTGTTTTCTAACCATATTCGGTGGACTGTTATTTTTACATTCATTTACATAACACGAAGATCAATAAGTTTATGGTGCAGCGAAGAAAATTAACTAATTTACAAAAGTACACCACTTAACATTACACTATTTACATCACGATACTGGCGTTATGTGTAAATTTATAATCAGTTAACCACAAAACCACCCAGTAACCCTCTCACTCAGATAAATCAATTATCATAATTGCCTAACTTCCATATTCTAACAGGCAGTATAACAAAGCCTAGTGTATCCTTCTAGCCAGACAGGTCAATGACCTAACAATGTAACCACTCGCATGTATCTAAATAATTTCCCTACATCATGGTCACGACAACATCGCTATCTAAGGGTCCTGTGCCATTGGAACATGATAGCCGTACGAAGCTGCACTTTAGGGTTGCTTTGATCCACGACAACCAAGTTATCTTTGTTTGGCTCGTTGGTTACGAAATCACGATGATACCAGATTAAATATTCCCTGTACCAATCACCATCAGCCTGGTGATTAATGCTCAAACCTTCTGCATATGAGAAGAGGCTATGCTCAGCACTTATAGGCTGTTAATGATGATGATGACGGCTTAAGACTGATTGGTACAATACATACATTTTGTTGTTTGTCCGATTTAGTCGTACGACCGTTGTGTCCTAATGAAATAGGGCTCTAACTTTAGAGGATCGACTTTTTGCCAACACTCAACGTTTGTCAACTGAATAATGTAAAGGATGACTAGGTAAGGGTAGTTATGCTTTTGTTTCCCCAACCACAAAAGTAAATGAGACAGCTGTGTTCTTGAAAAGGGTCGCGGTGTATAAACAAGTTTTACGTAATATTTTGTAAGCTTTAGTAATATTTTTTGATTCAAAATTGTTATAGTGTTCTCAGTGTAAAGGGCTCTGAATATATATGTTTATTGTGTACATGATTATGATAATATCGTCATATAATATTCATTTATCTTTCTCCAAGCTTTGCTGGAATAATCTACGCGACACTTAAAGTCAAAACTAGGACTAGTATTTCGACATGTTGTTCAAAATTAATGTTTTCGTATCGCAATATATCATGATTAGTATCCTTTCTTAGCAAGTCGTGATATGAATCAAGCCAGCTAGAAGCAAAGCTCGTTGCTCTACTAATCCGTGTCATGGTCATGACCGGCTTGTCTCCCGTCTCGCCCACATCCTATTGTTCAACTATCTATGCATATTAGCCGCTGCATTGTGCAATACAAAATGTTGTTAAAGCATTTATCTCAGAACTTGTATCATCAATAAAAAATATATCTTTAAAACTTCGTATGCAGTTGTCTTGATCACTGATAAGGCTTTCGTGACCTAGTTAAATAAATAAGCAGTTATGTATTTTATATTAAGTAATAGGTACCTTTGTATTTACGCAACGTATATACTGTAAAAAATATTCAAAATTTTATCCTAAAACTCGCCGTTGCCCGCGATTTCGTCCGCGTAGATAAAGAATTTTAGAACTTGTTTTGTTTCAATTTTCCAAAATAAAAGTAGCCAATGTTACTTCTTAGTACATCAGCTATCTGCCAATAAAAGTCTTGCAAAATCGGTCAAGCCATTCCAGAGTTATTAGTTACATTTGTAGTGACACATAGACAGAAAAATATAAAAATATTTTGGTATGTGTATCGTTTGTATATTCATATGCATGTAGGAAAAAGCGGTTATTTTAATGTTACAAACAGACAGTTAAATTTTATTTATCAACAGTTTTTGGAAAGCTATAACATATTTTCATTTTTTTATTACATCTTACTTACGATTTAATGTTCTGATAAGGTAGCATGTAGCGTAAATGAAAAAGAGGCGGAGTAAAGCGAACAAACAAAGAAAAAAAAACAGTCAGCCGAACATAGTACCTCCTCCTTTTTTGAAGTTGGTAAAAATACAGTACACGGACGTAAAATATTGGTTTAAATATCTCATTAATTTTCTGGCATATTCTTAAGCTTAATTTGCACAATATTCATATCTGCAACAACAATATTCATAAGCATCATAACATTTTTTTTTCTACAGCAATTAATTAGAACGTAATTTAATCCTGTATGTACCTATAAGTATGTATAATACCAGTGCACACGTGCGTGTCACTTAGTCACTGGGTAACCACAACAAAGGACCTCGGATTATAATGGACAGCGGTTTCTGTTACAATACTACTCTATTTTTATTATGTAATTAAATCAAGTTAAATTAAAAAATAATATGTATGTATTTTTCACTTGCTCAATCAATTCTCAATCAATCAAGTCGTGCTGACCCGGAGGTTTAAGATGCCCGCTTCTCATACATGAGGGTACAGGTTCGAAACTTACCAACGGCAAGTACCAATGTGACTTTTTCCGAGTTAGGTATATGTATTTTCTAAGATTATCTAGACACCTCTGACAAACGGTAAAGAAAGTCATCGTGAGGAAACCTTGGCTTAAGCGTGGTGATTAATACTTTAAGTTTAAAACCTTCTCCGTGTGAGAAGAGGCTTTGCTCAGCAGTGGGCATTTGTAGGCTGTTAATGATGATGATGATGATGATGAATCAATTCTAAGACCTTAGGTTAAAAGCTTATTTAACCTACAGGTTGGTTAGATCTTACAACAGTTTACGAATGAATAACATCCCACATTTTAAACTGTGCATATTTTCAATGTAAAACTCAGTTTCTCCATTTCGATCTACTTTTTAGTTTCGTCAGCCTTATGCACTTAAGCAACATACCTATTATTATACTAACGACCCGCCCCGGCTTCGCACGGGTGCAATATGCATGCATTATACATATAAACCTTCCTTAAGAATCACTCCCTCTATTTAAAAAAACCCATAGCAGCGCCATCTATTGATTACTTACTTAACCCAGTCGAAAGGTATCGACGACTGTTAGAATTATTTGGAGTTAACAGATAATTGTGACTATCAAATAATTAGCAATAAATTAAAATTGCGACTATAATTTGAGATTTAAACTATCCTATCTCTCAAGTTGGATCGAACTACACATGGTGTGCGAATTTTATTATAATCGGTTAAGTAGTTTAGGAGTCCATTGAGGACAAACATTGTGACACATGATTCTTATATATTAAGATTATAGCGAATACTATTTTAGACTAAGAATTATTACTAACAAAGGACAAGTAATTGCAAAAATTCCATGTAACATTTTGGTCTTTATGGAAATCGGACCACACAACCGACCAACCAGTATAAATAAAATACATAATTCTCACCGTAAATCATTTCTCTGAGTTCATATATGGCTTGGAGTCTGGTGCTGGGGTCTTCTCCAAGATGCTGGTGAGCGTACTCCATTAGCTCTGGTGGAGGCTCGCCCAGGTCCAGGTCGACGCTGTAGTCCGGAGTGGGAGGCATGATGGCCTGGAAAAAAATAAACATTATTTTTTTATTGTTCAACACTTTGTTTTACTAGTACTTCGCAAGCAAAACACCAAATACCACGATAACATCTCGTAGACAGGTTTAATATTAGTGTGATTTTATTCATCCTCGTGCAGTACCATATATCGATATGAGATAAAGAATATTCAACCTTAATTTATTTAAATAAAAACAATATAATAAATCATGAACATGAAATCTTTTACCCCCGGGGTAGGCAGAGGTCCATATTACGGCACTCAATGCCACCATACAATGTAACACCCACTTTTCACTATTTATGTTATGAGTCCCATGTAATAGGGGGTGAGTCTATTGCCATCTACCGGGAAGAATTCAAGACTTCGTGCTACTACTGAGTTTTCTTAAAAAACCTAGTAATACTTTGCCCGACCCGGGATCAAACCCGAGACCCCTTGCCCAGCAGTCGCACTTGTATATTATTTATATTGTAATTTTTCCTTCTACATACTTACAAGGATTGATCTTTAGAAGCTTTAACCAGAGCCATGAATTATTATAATTAACTAGCAAACCCGGCGAACTCAGTTTCACCACCAGATGGCTTCGTTTTATATAATATTTCGTTTGGTGATTAAAATACGAAGAAAAAAAATGTTTTTTGTTTGATATTATAAACCTCACGGAGCCCGAGACTGAGTCCCAACGAATGCTAAACCGTGGAAATCGGTTCGTGTGTTCTGAAGTTATAGCGTCAGGAAGGAAAACTCGACTTATTTTATATAGTAGATTAAGATTTATATTATATGTATGTGCATACGTATAATTAGGAAATAATAAAGTCGTATTAATTAACGCAGACATGCTAAGTATTAAGTTTAGTATAATTAGCTATACAACTTATACACAGTTTGTAATAAATCAATGGCTAAGCCTTTTTAATCTGTCTGAAGATCGACCTTGAGCTCAATCTGATGTAGCATGGAACTTTTTTTTATATGTAATACCTAAGTAGTCTTAGGTATTAGGTGTTTAGTTAATATGTTAATACTATCGGGTTTTTATATAAAAATAATCCATCATATTATTATAAAACTATAATAAATTTATCAGACATTTGTATTCAGGAAACATATATTTAAACATATTGTAAATTTCGATTTAATATTATTTATTCTTTATTCTTAGTAGAAGAGGATTATGATATCCGATGGGTAATTTATTCGGCCCGGATACCGGACGAAGTTGCCAAAAGCGGACGAAAGGTTTCTTTGTTTTTCCTGTGTTATTTACGTTTTTAATAACATTTCAAGGAAGGAAAGTTCAAAAAGTTCAAGTTAATAGTTAGGTGAACTCCGTTGACTTCTGAATTTCCTGGAAATTCTATAAAAAAAATAACAAACACAAATCTCATAACGGAAAACTCATTTCTTTACAAGTCGTAAGTACGTTCTTATAGGTTTGTATTCAAATAATATAGAAGTTTTGTTAACCAATCGAAAACAAACACATTTTGTAAAAAAATTGTATTATTTACTTTTTAGTCCACTGGTTAATATATGTATTGGTTAGCAGCAGACACCCTCTATATTACTTTGTACCAATAATAGTAACAGTTGATACTAAAAACTAATTTCCCAATCAACAAGTAACTACAAATTCACAAAAGATAATAATGTTCAAATAAAAACACTAACAATCCCAACAATACGTCCTTATTTTATTTAGAAATGGCCATTCTGCAGCGCTTAATTCGAGGTAATCTCATAACTTATTACTAAGAAAATTGCTAAGAAAAAGCAGCGAGCCTGTCGTAACAGTAGTTTGTTATGAAAGATAAAGAAATCACAAAGCTTTACTAAGTGCATTGCGTCAAATAATGCAGCCGTCTTCCTATTACCTAAGGCTGGGTACTATTTACTTAACTATGCAGATGCACAGCTATTTGTTTCTCAGGATACATAAAGATAAATGAAAAGAAAGCCAACGACGGAATCGTCTTTCGAAATACCAGGAAAACACTACCAACTTATGCTGTTTCCAGAAAGGAGAAAGGTTGTACAAAGATGGGTTTAACTTTACCATGGGTTGTTAGTTTAGGAAGGCAATGTAGGAAATAAGAAGAGTGATTTTTATACAAAATACTCAGAACTCAGATAGTTCAAAACATGAGCACTCATGTACTGCAATAGGGTAGACAACTAATTTTTATTTTAATGTCCGTCTGGTAGATTATTTAAAAACATTAGACACGTATTTTTACTTTTCTCACAGAAACGAATAGTTTCGAAGATATATTGATTTGAAATGTCGCGTGACGTCACTTCTCAGTACATTTTATACTAAGAAATGACGTTTTAGCCCCCACTCCTAAACTTTGATTCGTTTTATCTAAGTATTGTTTTATTATACGACAAAATAAAAAAATACGTGTCTAATATTTTTTCATTACCTAACTTACGGACTAATTATATTTTTAATTTTCATACCCTGTCATCATCCCCATTAAACTTATAAATAGGGCCCAAAAGTTTAAAGAAGTTGTTATTATAATCAAACATGTTTTACTTGATTATATTATATAACTATTAATTCGTTCAATTCAACCATAACACCTAATTATCGTTCTGATTCCCGGCGCTGTTAAACGTATGATAGCTTTACAACATTAATTTAAATATGTATCGCACTTTACTACGCCAGTTAAAAGCTCTAAAATATCTTATATTTACAAGTGAATGTAAATTTCACGAGAAGATATAATTAACGTAACGTTTTTAACCTTTAAACTGTCAAACACCAAGCGGTCACCGGTGACCGCGACCTATTGTTCTTTAATTGTGTCTATAAAACCGGTACTCGACGAGTTAATAACTACTTTTATCAGCCAATACCAGATACTTTCCGGATAAACAGTGATTGTAGTTATACACATAAAATAAGCGAAAGCTTTAGATTAGCTTTACGACCGACATAAATCAAATGATAAAATGGTTATTTTATAATAGAGTCGTTAATCAGAAAAGTGCAGCCTGCAGCGTTATCGATAAATTCAATCTGTATGGGGTCCGCGAGGGTAGCTGCAGAGAAAGTGCATAGAAATACGCCTGCGCACGCCAGGGACAGGCTCCCAGTACACAAACTGGTCACGATATGTAAGCAGGAATAGCTTTCATATGGCCGATGGCCGATAATACTTGTTATTTCGTAAGCGAGAAATCGTGGCTCGACTATTTTACTCAAGTAAGTATAACAATTTTCTTCTCAGGCTTTTAAAGAAAACCATAAAGCTTTTACCTAGTTAAAGACATACCGCAAATAGTTAGATACTCGAACACTTACATATGTATCTCAGGCTGTGTAATAGTATAACATCAATCAGTGTTCAGTAACCTGTTCATATATTCAGAATCGTTATCTTATGTTTATTGTTCAATTTGTATTCAAAATCTTCACACGAGAAGCAAATATTTCTCAACGCAATTCTTATGTTGAATTCAATTCGTTCCAATGCAGTTTTATCTTGATACCAAAACATAATAGTACAATGTTAGGCAATTATATGTATGGCCTTTTGTTTGTAGTCATTGTCATAACATTACACCATTACTTCATTAGATTTATAGCTTTTGTTTTAAAAATACGAGCCTACATCAAAAGCCATCACAAAAACCGGCAGCAAAACAAAGACAGATTATAGTAATATATTAAAGGAATATTTACCATTGGTAACAAACTCCATCAACAACTGATGAACTAAAGTTTTACAACACACAGTCACAACAGAAGACGATCGACTATAACCGCAGCGTATGGGTAATACACGATTATAAAATAATCATACAAGTTCATTTTCAACAACTGGGTCATCGATTTATCGATTAAACTTGGTAGGACTCTAAATTACGTTTTATTTTTAATTTTATCGTTGCACATATTTGCAGTGTATGCAATAATACGTTACATAACAAAATCAGAGCTGTTTACATTTTAAAACGAGTTTTTTGATAAAAATGTGACTTTTCATCCTCGCTCCCAAGACATTTGGTCAAAATATTTGGAAACCTTCATTAATTTATTTCACAACACCTTCGTATTTCGGTTTTGAGATAACAATTTGTAGTAAGTACGTCGTGGCGTAATAAAATAATGTCTGTGATCAAAAATAATATACTAACAAAGTACCCGAAGTTACATGCGATGGTCGGTGTTACTGAGAGTGCCGACGGGCTTTATCGGAGTACACAATTAGTTGACGTCATTATTTTTTGAGAAAATCGCTATAATGTCGCAATAATTTCTATGAATTTTGAAAGGAATAACCAAGTCAATGTCATATTTTATAAGGTTTTATTTATATAAAATACGGACTAATTATGTTTTTTAAATAAAGGAACGGAAATAATCGCCATTTTGATTTTAAGACCCCTTCCTATACAATATTTGTCATGTTTTGTGTGAACATTTTTAATGTTTCCAGTGAACGCTAGTAATGATATTAATAATTTTAATCACATTATGTAGGTCAATGTTTTGGACCAACTTTAATATCACAGTTGTGAAATGGACGAGATTAGGCATATTTTATCAAGGAGGTCGTTTTAAATAGATATACCCACTAATAAGTCCGTTAGTACATGGTATGACATAATGTTTTTGCACCAAACGTAATTATTGTTCAAGTGCTTAAGTGTTTAGATAATTCAAAAGTCGTTGACCGAACCATTCCTAAATTTGCGAAGAGCACAGCCGCCAAAAATATAATTAATCATCGAAGGTTATTTAAGTAACGTCTTTAGTTTACAAGGACAGATATATCTTTTTAAAATTACCCCACACAATTTACAATCATCTTCAAATGCATGAAAGAGGTTTAATATGATTCAATTCATTATTTTTATTGTATTCATGTAAACGTGTGGGTCTGTGTGCGTGTTGATCTACACCAATGAACGGATTATATGATCTAGAATCAATCACAATTGCATTACCACATTTGTCCACGATATAAGCATCTA